CAACTTTCAAAGGACATTTTTTTGGAAACGGTGAAAGAACGGCCCTGCCGCTTCCAGGGCCGACAAAGCTCCAAACCCCTCTCCATCGCCAAGAAGCGCAAAGAGTTCTTGGACAGGCTGCATCGGGGCCCTCGGCCCAAGGGCTTCGTTTGTGAGCAGGGTTTGGTCAGACTTCGTCTGCGATCCTGCTCCTGCTCCTGTTCCCTCCCCCATCCCCCTCCCCCGCCCGGTCGCCCCCCATGTTCCTGCTCCTGTCCCCTCCATCCCCCTCCCCCTGATCCCCGTCAATGTTCAATCCTCTCCCCGCCCGGTCCTGTCGTCGATGATGCTCAGCAGGATGACGCGCTCCTGCTCCCCGGGGCCGAACAGCAGCGTGTCCTGCGCCCAGACGTAGTCCTAGCGGGCAGGCGGGAGGGAGAAGACGAGCCGAGCCGAAGCGAGCGCACAGGAGTCGTGCGCGCTCCGCTAGGGATGCATCGCTTCACCGAACCCATTCCCATTTTGACGCGGCATGGGCCCCCCTGGCCGATCTACCCCCTTAGATGGAGATGCACAGCCGAAGCGATGATCCACACACAACTCGTGTGAGAAATCTGCGCCAGCTGTCCGGCAAGCCAGTGAAGAAGCGCTGGCCCAGCTGATCGGGAGGAGGGGTCTCCAGCAGGTGCTCTACTGCAGGCTGTTTCCCTTAGGTTTCGAAGGACACTTCCCCAACTCGGGTGCTGAGAAGGTAGGGATCGGGGATCGGGGTCGGCCAAACGATGCTGCGGTACGGCCCCGGCCGGCTTCTTTTGCAGAGGCTACGGCCCCCACGCCGTGCCCATTGGGGCATGGCGTGGGGGCCGCAGCCTACGCAGACAAGAAGCTGCGAGTCTAAACAGCAGGCCAGCTGGCCGCTCATCGGGCGAAGGCGGATGCGGTTCACTGCCCCGTCGCAGTGGTGGCCTGGCTGTCGCCGCTGGGGGCACCGTGGGCCGCTCTCGCGCGCCTGTCTGGGGCTCATCCTCGGCCGACGCTGCCCTCCTGCTGCTCAGTGCAGCTATGCGTCGCGCTGCCGCCCTGGCGCAGTGGAACATGGTTTTTCCATGTTTGAGACATGTTCAACGCACTTTGTGGACACCTGGAAATTATTGGGCAATATGCTTCCTCTCCATTGATCGTTGTCCACAAAAGCTTACGCCAAGGGTATATTTAGGAGCCCGGGCACGAAGGGCCAACTAAGGGGCAACCTTCCGAGCCCAACGGCAGAGAGCCAAGGGCTCGCAGGGCCAACGTTAGAAAGCCCAGAGGGGGCACCCTGCCAAGGTTTTAGGGGAACGAAGAATGATATAAACATAACAACTCGGAGGTCCGCGCGGACTTCTCGGATCCGCGCTGGACCCCCCTGGCGGCGCCTCCGGCACCCGATCCAGGCGCTCCGCGCGCCAGGGAGGGGGTCCATCGCGGGTCCAAGAAATCCGCGCGGACCTCCGAGTTTTTATGCTTATGGATGTTTTCGCTCCCCCAGGTTTTCCACAAAGACGACCAAAATCCTCTCCAACCCCTCCAACAAGAACCTCCCCGGAGCGGTTCCGGAAGGCTACGCCGGAGGGCCTCGGGAGGGTTCGGGAGCGCTGCGGTCGTTCCGGAGGGAGGCCCAGTCCCTGGCAGACCCTGGACTTTCCGAGGCCACCGACTGCTCGCAGCCCTCGTTGCGTCTCGTTTCCGGCGTCGGCCTGCTGGCACCTACTGTCGAGACTGGCCGGGCGCTGCGCTGTGCGTTCTCGCCCCGCCTGCACGACGCGCTCAACCTCATCTGCGCGCGCGCCAAACTGTCGTGCACTCACGCTCGTGCGGCCGCCCCTGCGGAGAGGAGGAGCCCGGGGACCTCCGCTCGGGATGCCAGGCGCACCGGGGATGGGCGTCGATTTGTATGCAGATGCATCAGACGAAGCTACCCGTATACTGATTAGGGATATCCATAAGAGCCGTGGACCTGAGGCAGGCCGCGACTTGATGGCGTTATTACGGTTAGGGGTTGTATGTTGCGTCACGGCTGGAGGAACCAAAGACTGCAGAATCAGAAGCAATCGACAGTCCGTGCGGACTTTTTGGATCTGTGCTGGGCTCCCCGTTCCCTGGCGCGCGGAGCGCGCCAGGGGTGGCGCCAGAGGCGCCGCCAGGAGGCTCCAGCGCAGATCCAAGAAATCCGCGTGGACCATCGAAAGCTCATGATTATGCCTTCTTTCCTCCGAAGAATGGGGAGGATTTACAGGGCAGGGGGGGCGACGCAGAAGAGCACGGCAAGAAGAAAAGAGGAGCGAGCCCGAGGCGAAGGACGGGCTACGGGGAGGACAACCTGGGTCAACGCTGATCTGGATCTGGCTAGAGCCCGGCCACTCAGTAGATCCACAACCCAGGTCAGCGAACGGCGAAACATGGGGATCGGCTCCACACGGCTGCACGCACCCGGGTCCGCAAGGGGGGGGGGGACTGACCCCCGTTTAGCGCTGACCCCGGCCGGTTACATGCGCACCGGGAAGGCGCTCTGCCGACACAATCCGGCTTCCTGCGAGATGGCGACGGCGAAGGTGTGGTATCTCTTCTGTGGGAGCCTGCATGGTCCCCGGCACTGTCCTATGTGGCGCTGAGGTTGACCAGATTTGGAACACATGTGGGCTCGGGTTTGGAAAGGAGCTGGACAAGCCCTTCCGCTTCAACGGGGAGACGGGGAGAACGAGGAGGGGGTTCCCCCCCGGCAAGTCACGCCCATTATATGATCCCCAGGGCACAATAATCATGAGGATAATACGCTTACTATGAATAAGAAGTATTATCGCACTACGAGCAATAATCGTACACATAAAAAGTGTGTATGAAAACCTCTCCAGAGAAAACAACAACATGTTGGAGCCGGCGCTGGCGCTCGCCCAGCGCGTGGTGGCGGGCTGCTCGCTGGCACACACACTCGCACTCTGGAGGCGGGGGGAGACGAGGAGGGCCGCCGCGGAGGGGGGGCGGAAAAGGGAAAAGGGGCGAGGGCCTGGGATCGGGGGTCGCTTAGAAGGAGGGGCGATGACTGGGGGGGGAGAAAGGTGCACCTCTCGGGCCCTACAGGCCCCCTGCTGGGCCCCTGCTGGGCCGCTCTCGGGGGCCCTGCAGGGCCCCCTTTCTGCAGCCCTCGCCGCCCCTCCAGGTAATCGATCGCCCCCCTGTTACGCGACGCCCAACAGGACGTGAAGAGCTCGACGCAGGTGCTGCGGCTCTGGCCCTGGGCTGCACTGGATCTGCGGGACAGAGGCCGGCAGCCTCAGCCTCGGGAGGAGGAGGAGGAGGAGGAGGAGGAGGAGGAGGAGGAGGAGGAGGGCAAGGAGAGGGAGGAAGGCGAGGAGAGGGAGGTGGAGGAGGACGGCGAGGAGAGGGAGAGGAGGAGGAGAGGAGGAGGAGGAGGAGGAGGGAGGAGGAGGGAGAGAGGAGGAGGAGGAGGAGGACGGAGGAGGAGGAGAGTGGAGGAGGAGGGGGAGAGCGAGGAGGGCGAGGAGGAGAAGGAGGAGGAGGAAGAGAGGGAGGAGGGCGAGGAGGAGGAGGTAGAGGAGGAGTGCCAAGGGGGCAGCCCCCCGGCTGGGCGTAAGGGAAGAGCGCAGGGCTGCCGCAGGCCCGGGGGGCGCCCCCGGCACCGGGCTGCCCCACGCCGGGCCCCTCGGGGCCGAGGGCCGAAGAGACGAGCGGACGGCCTGTCTGTTCTGATGATGCTCCCGGGGACTCACGGCGCCCGAAGCGCCAGCACGGAGGAGCGCGCACGGCGGCAGGGCCCAGACCAGCCTGCATGCAGCAGCCCCTGCCGTACGACCCGGGGGGAGGCGGGAGGAGAGGAGCTGATGATGCTGATGGCGACGATCATGATGACGCTGATGATGCTGATGATGATGACGACGATGGTGATGCTGCTGATGCTGATGATGACGATGCTGATGGTGGTGTTGATGATGATGATGTTGATAAGGATGATGATGGTGATGACGACGATGATGATGACGCTGATGATAATGATGACGACGATGATGATGCTGATGATGATACTGATGATGATGATGCTGATGGTGGTGTTGATGATGATGAGGATGATGATGAGGATGATGACGATGATGCTTATGCTGATGATGATGATACTGATGCTGATGCTGATGATGACGATGAGGTTGGTGGTGTTGATGATGATAATGATGGTGGTGATGATGATGATGATGCTGCTGATGCTGATGCTGATGCTGATGATGATGCTGATGGTGGTGTTGATGATGATGATGACGATGACGACGATGATGATGATGATGATGATGATGATGATGATGATGATGATGATGATGATGATGATGATGGTGGTGGTGGTGGTGATGATGATGATGACGAGTGTGCTGACGACGACGGCGGCGACGAAAGCTTGAGGGGCATCAGCAGTCTGTAGCATACAACGGTGCAAAACGTCAAATCTGAGGCTGCTGCAAGTTACTCCCTGGTCCGTCCGACCCGAGAGGAGGGAGAAGGAAAGGAGCTGGTGGTGATGACGAGTGTGATGACGACGACAGCGACGAAAGCTTGGGGGGCACCACCAGTCTGTAGCATGCAACGGTAAAAACAAGTCCAATCTGGGGCTGCTGTAAGCTGCTCCCTGGCGCTGTCAGAGAATCCGTTCCCCTGCCAGGCAAGCATCGATCAGTTGGCCTGTAATGTGCTGTGCGTCGCATTCGCAAGCATCCAGGTACTGCCCTTCCAAAGCACTCTTGGCTCCCGTGAATTCTCAGAACGCTGATTGAAACGGGAATCCGAGGCGCGCGCAAGCAGAAGGCCACAAGCACCAACTGCTCGCATCGGAATCGGCCATTGGACTTGCGGCCGTAGCAAAGGTGGCCGCAAGCCCCACCCGTTGCTGACGATCCCTGTGTGCGCGATTGGATCTGTGCGAACACGGGGTTATTCGAGAGCATCGGCCAGCGGCGCAGGCAGACGAGGGGAACCAGCGGTCAGACGTCCCGCGAAGCATGGGCCGCACGGATATGATCAGCAACAACTCCCCTCTGAAACTCGTCCATGAGCTGCATCTGACTCGACATGGCCTCGGCGGTCTGCTGCTGATGCTCCCGCGTCCCGCACTGGAGCAGGCTGCCGATGACGTGCCCCCCCTGCGGCTGGTAGCAGAGCCACGGCAGCAACACGAGCAGCTCGCTTTGGATGCGAGCCGTCCGTGCCGTGGGCAGCTGGCGCAGCAGCTCGCCGACCACCTCCGCGCCGCCCTGCAGCCGCAGGCACTCGACGGTGTGGCCGGTGACCTCGCGCGCGAGGAAGCCGCAGGCCCTGGGCAGCAGCCGCAGGCAGGCACGCAGCACGGCACCGCCGTGCGCCGAGCGGAAGAGCGCCGGCACCCAGCCGTGCAGCTCGCCCACCAACCTACGATCACTGTGGACCCGATCCATGCCCCCACCGGCGTGGCCTCGGCCCCACTGGCCGACTCGCCCACCAGTCATTGAACCGGCCTTGCAGACGTGCTGCAGCGGATTTTCGCGTGGAGTTCTGTCAGCGCAGAGCCCCGAAACGGCGAGCGAAAAACGATGCGATTTTCACGTGGGTTGCGTGTAGTGCTCCTTCCTGGTCAAAGGAAATCCGCACGAAACTCAATTCGAAATCCGGAACGAAGCTCTCCAGAACAATCCGGGTCCATCCTATGGTCTTCCGAACGTAATCCGCTCTGCGATGTTGGCGCCATGGCACGAGAGTGTTGTTGTTTCAATCAGCCCGCAGAACAAGGACCCGCGATGTGGACGCGCAGGGGCCCTGGAAGGCCGTGTGGACGCTCTGCCAGCGGGGCGCGGCCGGCGAAAGCGGCAGAGCATGGGCCGAAGGGAAAGGATGCGAGGGTACCCTTGGGGAGTCGTTCATCCTTACTGCGCGTGTTGCCTGTATTCCCCCCCCGTACCGTCCGTAGCGGGAGTGGGGCCGACAACACATTGGTCGGGCCCCGCGGGGTGTGTCGGCGACTCCAAAGGGTGTGGTTTGCAAAGGGTGTGGTTTGCAACCGGCACTCTGGGGAACATCCTGGGGGGCACCCTAGGGGACGCGCGGTGACCTCGATAGAGTTCTCCCGCGCCCCGAGGAGGCCCGACGAGGACAGTGTCGTGCCCCCCAGGCCCCAACGGTGCCGATCGCAAACCACACCCCGGCGTAACCATACCCTTCGTAGTCGCCAGGTGTGCGCCCGGGCGCCGGACGACGACGACGACGACGACGCCTTCAACGACAACGACGAGGACGAGGAGGAGGACGTGCCGCCTCTGGAGTCTGAAGGTCTCTGAAGGTCTCCAGGGGCCCAAGGAGGACGACGACGACGACCAGGACGACGACGACGACGACGACGACGACGACGACGACTGCGACGACGACGACAGGCACCAGGACGAGGCCGGGGACGAGGACGAGGACGACGATGACGACGACCACCACGACAACGACAACGACGACGACGACTAGGACGACGACGAGGACGAGGACGTGGACGAGGACGACGAGGACGACGGCAACAACGACGACATCGACGACGACGAGGACGAGGACGGGGAAGGAGACGGGGACGACGACGACGACGACAACGACGACAACGACGAAGACGAGGACGAGGACGACAAAGAGAACGACGACGACGACGACGAGGACGAGAGCAACGACGACGACGAAGGCGACAACGACGACGGCAACCACGACAACGACGAAACAAGGACGAGGACGAGGACGAGGATGACGACGACGAGCACGACGACGACAGGGACGACGACGACGACGACGACGACGACGACGACGACGACGACGGCAATCACGACGACGACGTCGACGACATCGACGACGACGACGACGAGGACGAGGACGTGGACATGGACATGGACAGGGCCGGGGACGACAAAGACGAGGACAAGAGCGAGAACGACAACGAGAACGAGGACGACGACGGCAAAAGACGACGAAAACGGCGACGACGCCGAGGACAGCGGCGGCGACGACGACGACGACGATGGGCACCTCTGAAGGTCTCCAAGGCACTTCAGACGCCTCAGGAGGTTTCCAGAAGCCTCTGGAGGCGTGACGAGGCCCATCGAGGCCCTCGGAAACGACGAGGACGAGGACGAGGACGAGGGCGACGACGAGGAAGAGGACGACAAGAACGAGGACGACGACAACGGCGACGACAACAGACGCCTCGAAAGGTCTACTGAAGTCTCTGGGGGCCTCAGAATATCTCCGGAGGCCTCTGCAGGCCATGCGAAGCCCTCGGATACGGCGGCGACGACAACGAGGACAGCGACGACGACGAGGACGACGACGAGGACGACGACGACGAGGACGAGGACAGGGACTGGGACATAGACAAGGACGACGATGATGATGACGACGACAACGAGTCACGACGACGACGACGAAGACGACGACGGCCTCCCCTGGAGGCGGTTGGAGGCTCTCCCGTGCCCGTCAGCACTCCACCATGCCCGTGAGCACGGCGCCATAGCTGGTAGTGGGCCTGGACCCCACCTTGTACGTCGCATGGTACTGTTACGGGGGGGGGGGGGGGGGCGACCACCCCGGGAAAGTCGCTAGGGGCATTCAACTATAAAGACAAACAATGTCCACCTGGGTGAGTGTGTGTGTATGTGTGAATGCGTGTGAATGCGCGTGTGCGTGTGCGTGTGCGTGGGCGTGGGCGTGTGCGTGCGTGTGCATGTGTGTATGTGTGGTGTGTGTCTGGTGTGTGTGTGTGTGTGCGTGCGTGCGCGCGCGCGTGCGTGCGAGCGTGCGGTGTGTGTGTGTGTGTGTTTGTGTGTGTGCGTGTGTGCGTGTGTGCGTGTGTGCGTGTGTGCGTGTGTGCGTGTGTGCGTGTGCGTGTGCGTGTGTGTGTGTGTGTGCGTGTGTGAATGTGTGAATGTGTGTGTGTGTGTGTGCGTGCGTGCGTGCGTGCGTGCGTGTGCGTGTGCGTGCGTGTGCGTGCGTGTGCGTGCGTGTGCGTGCGTGTGCGTGCGTGTGCGTGCGTGTGCGTGCGTGCGCGTGCGTGTGCGTGCGTGCGCGTGCGTGCGCGTGCGTGCGCGTGCGTGTGCGTGTGCGTGCGTGTGCGTGCGTGTGCGTGCGTGTGGGTGGGTGGGTGGGTGTGGGTGTGGGTGTGGGTGTGGGTGTGGGTGTGGGTGTGGGTGTGGGTGTGGGTGTGGGTGTGGGTGTGGGTGTGGGTGTATGTGTGTGTGTGTGTGTGCGTGCGTGCGTGCGTGCGTGCGTGCGTGCGTGCGTGCGTGCGTGCGTGCGTGCGTGCGTGCGTGCGTGCGTACGAGCGTGCGCGCGTGTGTGTGTGCGTGTGTTGATGTCTGTGCGTGTGTCTGTGTCTCTGGCTGTGTCTGTGTCTGTGTCTGTGTTTTTGTCTGTGTTTGTGTCTGTGTGTGTCTGTGTGTGCCTGTGTGTGTCTGTGTGTCTGTGTGTCTGTGTGTCGGTGTGTATGTGTGTCCGTGCCTGTGTGTGTGTGTCACCTGGTGGCACAAAGCTGCACATCGTCTTCGTGGTGTTCCTCTTCCTCCTGGGCCTCCTCCACACCATTCGGTGGCACAACGTTGCTCATCGCCTTCATGAAGGTCTTCTCCCCCCTGGACGTCGACCTGGTCAAGTGGCGCGTCCCCCTCTGCAGTGCTTCAGGCTGGTGTTCACGACGTGCCGTTGACGGCAACACCACATCGCTCACCCTCCGGATCTTCGCCTCCGGCTCCTGTCCGCGGCGTACCTTTTCCTGTGCAAGCTCCTCGGCACCGCCTGCACCCCGGGTCCTGCCCTCTCCGGCCGCCTGAGGCCCCGCCCGCCTGTGCCCTGTCTCCCTAATTAGAGCTGTGCGTAGCCCGCCTAGCTTTTAGCGGAAGAGGTTCGCTCTCGCCCCGCCGACCAAAAACTGTGTGTGTGTGTGTCTGTGTGTGTGCCTGTTCCTTCGGGTGTCGCGCGGGGCCTGCAGGGAGCCCACAGAAGGACGCACACGCCCAACCGCGTACATGAACACGGCCCCCCAATCTGCGAGACCAGCCTCGTGATACGAACGCTCGCGCAGCGCGTACTTTCGAAACCAACGTGGATTCATGTGCGCCTACGCCCTTTTTGTCGCTCCTGAGCCGATCCGCACCTCAGGAGGGGGGGCCGGTGGGGCTGAGATGCCGTGGTCCAATGGGGATGGGCGTAGACCACGGTGAGCCTGACCCGCTGCAGCGGCGGCGCCAGCTCCAGCGCCCTCTGCACCGCGAGGCTGCCCGTCTCCTCGCCCGCGGAGGCGAGCTCCAGGACCACGCCTCTGGAGGCCGCCCCCGGCCGGGGCCGGAGTGCAGATGAGGGGGCCGGGCGGCCAGAGGGCCGCCCGGCCTCGCCGAGGCATCGGCGTCGGGCCCGCGCGGGCAAGGCGGCTGCGAGCCAGCCGCAACTCAGCGGGCGAAGAAGCCAAGAAGCTGTTCCGTCACCGTGGGCGCTGCCCCAGGGCGGCTGCACAATCTCTACCTTCACGTGCCACCGTGAGGGCATAAACTGTCCAGCCGCCCTGGGACAGGCGCCCCCGACAGCGAACAGGTGTATTGTATAGCGTTCGTCGCCCGTTAGACATCACCGATGCAGCGGCGAGGCGGCGCGATCCTCCGACCCCCTCTGCTCGGGCCCCGTTGGGGCGGCCCGGAGTTAGGTCGGGCACGTCCTCCTACAGGCGGACGTTGGACAAACACGTTTGAAACATTTGGTTTCAGGCTGAAGGGGCCCAAGGACACACATAAATACACACAAATAAAATAATACCCCATGTTTTCTCACATGTTCTTGGTTTTCGTCTTCCCCCCACTTCCCATATGTTCCCATATTCTCTGGGGGATCGAGGATTCATTGTGTCTGTGTGATTCTTTTCCTCCTGAAAACAAAAAAAACATCCTGGAACTTAATCTACACAAAAATCGCCCCCAGCTGTTTACTATTCTTTGATACAGTCGGGGCGTTGACCTAAGGAACCCTAAATAAGGAATGGGGCCCCTTTCTCCCATTTGTTGAACATCGATTTCGCAGGGAAAACCTCAGGAAAACAAAAGGCGAACTGCAGAACAACCAAGGAGCACCGAGCCCCTCCCCAACGAAAAGGGTTCCTTCTTCAGGGCCCCGACTGTATCCCTCCTGCAGAGGGGCGTGCCCGCCTTCAGCCCGGAGCCTTCCAGCTGCCCCACCGCGCCCCGCCGCTCTGCCTCGCCCCGCGCGCCCTGCAGCCGCTCGAGGAGCTCGGACCGCCAGGCGCTGTCCGCGCGGGCCCTGTTCTCCGCGGTGAAGCGGTTGTGCTCCTTCCGGGTCGGGCGAAAGGGGGGGATAGCAAAGGGGGGGGGGGAAGAATCAGCTCATGTAGCTGATTTTCCCGGCGCCTCTTGGCGCCGGGAGGCGCCCGTGTATCGAGGAATGGGCCCATCGGTGAGGCCGAAACCAGCTGCATGCAGCAAATTTCGTAACCCCCCCTTTCCCAATCCCCCCCTTTCGCCCGGCCCGATCCTTCCAGGACTCCACCTCCACGACCTCGGCCAGCGCGGCGTCACAGAAACGAACCTGGGTAGGAGACCGAGTTCTGACCACGCCCACTTCCCGAGGTGCCCTGCGAACAAAAACGGTTTCCAGTGGTGGAGGTGGGCAGTTTCCCCGCCCCAGGGGAGGGAAAAACTACCCACTTCCACCCCCGAGGGCCTATCATAGAATCAAGGATCCAGAGGTGGATGTGGTCAGAAATCGGTCTTCGACTGGGGCTCCACGAAAGAGCGACTGCCCAGGGGCAGGAGTGGCCTCTGGTGTGCGCGCAGCTCCTCGGGCCGGGGGGGCCGCTGGGGGGAAGGGGCACGCTCGCAGGGCGCAAGCAAGCAGGCTATGGGGAAACCGAGAGGCACCGATGCCGCCACTCTCCCAACCTCTCCCGGGGTGTGCTCGGGCCAGGATCTCGAGGCGAATCCAACGGTGGCGACGAGGGCCTCCGAGGAGGCCCAGAAAGGCGAAAACAAGGGAAGGGTAGCAATCTTACGGTTATCTTTTCCTCCTCTGAGGTTGGACCACTGTGGGGCCGCACCAAAGGTCGCTGCGGCCAAGGTAGGGGGCAACAAATCCACCCCCAGAATAACCGCCCGGGACCGGCGAGGCCGTGCAGCAAAACGCGCCCATAATTAGCAGGCATCGAACAGGGCAGGGCTGGTCAGTAAACGCCCAGGGCCGCTCAGGAAACGCCACTTGTCTGGTCCGCTTGGCTGTTCCTCCCCTGACGAGGGTTGCCCTTGCGCGCCGCGGAGCACCCTCGGCGCACGGGCCTCTGGGGGAGTGCCGGCGCGGCTGCTGCCGCACGCCGTGGACTCCTCCGAGTCGCTCGCCTCGACGGCCGCGGCCAGCTCCGGGCAGCAGGCTGGGCGGCGCGCGGCGCGCAGGGGCTCCTCGTGCAGGCGCATCGCGCAGAGCGGTCGAAGGGCTGCCGGGAGCGGGCGGCCTGGACAGAGGCCTCGGCGAGACCGAAGCGACTGCGGACGGCGGCGGGGGCGGTGGAGGTGGGGATGGTGGTGGTTTTGGTGTCGGAAACGTGATGATGCTGATGATGATGATGATGGTGATGATGATGATGATGATGATGATGATGATGATGATGATGATGATGATGATGATGATGATGGTGATGATGATGGTGATGATGATGGTGATGATGGTGATGACGGTGGCGGTGATGGTGGCGGCGATGCTGATCGTGGCAGGCACGCCGACCGGTGAGACAGGTGCGGCTAGGCGACCAGATAAACGAGAAACATCGTTCCCTGGCCAGCGCCAGGCGGGCCTGGCCCCTAGCCGACTCATGGTGGCTGGTATGGTGACCCAGCCCCGACTTTGTGGGAGTTTCGGGCGGACAACAGGATTTGGGGCAAAACTCGGTGATGTACGCTGGGGCTGGCCTCCCATCCTCGACGTGGGCGCGTTCAAAAAGCACCCTCGGGGGTGCATCACCGAATTCCCCTCTTTCCTGAGCGACTTGATTCATGGGGGGAAACTCGGGGGCTGGGGGGGCGAGCAGCTGCGTGCGAGTTAGTTACATGGCCGCAGGGCCCAGCAGGCGAGTGCTGCAGGTGCCATGCCAGGCCACTGCAGCAAGCAGGGGCAGCACGCCGGCCTGGCCCGTCGGTCCCGCAGCAAGCTCCCGAGGGCATCGCCGAGCGGCTGGCTGAGGCACCGCGCCTGGCCTGGCGCCGAGCCGCGCGGAGAACCCCCAAGAGGCCCCGAGCGGCCAACGGCGGCAGAGCCACGCAAGCTCCTTCTCCAGTTCAGCCAAGCCGACGAACCTGAACCGAGAGCTTCGGATGCGCCGCTGCGCTGGCGGACGGGGCGCGGAAATACATAAGATTATATATATATATATATATACTTATGTATATATAAACAAAAAACAAAAACAAAACAAAACAAAAAAAACGTGAGGCGCTGCCGCGGCTGACCTCCGCGCTGCCAGGCCTCGCGCCCGCGCCCTCCCTGGCCCCCAAACAGACGCAGTGCCCTGGGCCTGGCGCCGGCCACGGCTTCGGCGTCGGCCGCGGCCTCGAGCATGGCTACGGCCACTGCAGCCTTAGGTCGGGCATGTCCCCGTCCAGGCGAATCTTGCAAGAAAGATCAACAGAAGTCAAAACAAATGCCCGAAATGATCAGACATATCAGAACAAAAAAACCTCCCCACACTATGTTCTGACCATTCTGGACTACTCGTCCTGTAGGGGGGCCTGCCCGACTTGACTTCAGGCCCGCGTTGCGGCCCAATGGATGCGTTGGGCCTCGCCGTCTGTTCTGGCCGGCCTCTCCCGAAGGAGCCCCTTGTCAGGGCTCCCAACTTCGCGCTTCGCGCTGCGCGCTGCGCGAAGTGCGAATCACTTCGCACTCTCGCGCCGCCTCCCAGGGGAGAAGAGTCGGCGGTAGACAAACCTCCCTTTAGTAAACCTCCCTTTAGTGAAAACGGCCTGGGACCGACGCCGACGGACCTGGACCCGCAAACATGACGGCCGCGACGCCCTCTCGCGAACCGAAAACGGTCGATTCCTTAATCGACGTGTCAGGGTGGGAGGTCTGTCCACCCCCGAAAGAGGAGGACGAGGAGGAATCGGAGCCGAACCGCGAAGCGCGAAATAACTTCGCGCCCTCGAGGCCGCCTCCCAGGGGAGAAGAGGAGGACGAGGAGGAATCGGAGCCGAACCGCGAAGCGCGAATCACTTCGCGCCCTCGAGGGCGCCTCCCAGGGGAGAAGAGGAGGACGGGGAGGAATCGGAGCCGAACCGCGAAGCGCGAAGTGCGAAATAACTTCGCGCCCTCGCGCCGCCTCCCAGGGAAGAAGAGGAGGACGAGGAGGAATCGGAGCCGCACCGCGCAGCGCGAAGCGCGCAATCACTGCGCGCCCTCGAGGCCGCCTCCCAGGGGAGAAGAGGAGGACGAGGAGGAGTCGGAGCCGCACCGCGAAGCGCGAAGCGCGGAATAACTTCGCGCCCTCGAGGGCGCCTCCCAGGGGAGAAGAGGAGGACGAGGAGGAGTCGGAGCCGCACCGCGCAGCGCGAAGCGCGCAATGACTGCGCGCCCTCGCGCCGCCTCCCAGGGTTGGAGGTCCGTCCACCCCCGAAAGAGGACGAGGAGGAGTCGGAGCCGCACCGCGAAGCCCTCGCGCCCTCGAGGGCGCCTCTGCCCATTGCGGCCGTGCGGCCGCGGAGCCCGCCGAACACCCCCCTCACGAAAAGCGCGAGGCGCGCGCACACCCGCGAGCGCACACGCACTCCTCCTCCTCCTCCTGCTCCTCCTCCTCCCCCTCCTCCTTCTCCTCCTCCCTCCTCCTCCCTCCCTCCTCCTCCTCCTCCTCCTCCTCCTCTCCTCCTCCTCCTCCTCTCCTCCTCCTCCTCCTCCTCCTCCTCCTCCTCCTCCTCCACCTCCTCCTCCTCCCCCCCCTCTGACACACCTCGGTGGCCCCGTCAAGCCTCAGCGCGAGATAGCAGGACACTGGAGACGGAGCAGTATGAGGAGGATGGAGGCGACGAAGAAGAAGAAGCAGAAGAAGGCCAAGAGAAGGACTCGGGGAGGCCAGACGTGCAGTAAGGACAGCAGCAGAGAGGGGGGGGGTCAAACGTGTAAAAACCAGGAGGCCATCGATGACGAGCAACTGCGTAGCATCTTCGCCAGCGTGGACACAAACCAGTGGGCGTTTGCACTCTTGTGTCTGTGGCAACCTTCGTCATGCAACGTCTAAGGTGCATTCGATGCGCTGCGTCTTATCTTGTGCAACATTTGCGGTGCACGAATGTGGTGCAATCTATGGAATGCACTTAATATTTGAGCGTCTTGAAGCTGTCCTCTCTACTGCTCGTGCAAACATCCCACCCTACCACTCGCAACTTGGTCGCAAAACCTCTTAAGCCAAGACCGTGACGGTAGGTACCACATGGCACTTGCCCACGACACCGACGCCGACGACGACAGCGACAACGACGACGACGACGACGACGGCGCCGCCGACACCGACTGCGACGACACCGCCGACGTCGACGACGACGAAGACTACGACGACGCCGACGCCGACGCCGACGCCGACGACGACGACGTCGCCAACGAAGACGAGGTAGGAGGAAGGACGACGACGGCGACAACGACGACAACGACGAGGGAGGAGGGAAGACGGCGACGAAGCGAACGACGAAGAAGGAGGAAGGACGGCGACGCCGACGACGACAACGACAGGGGAGGAGGGAAGACGACGACGACAACGACGACGAAGACGACGACGACGGCGACGAAATAGGAGGGACGACGACGAGACGCCGACGACGGACGACGACGACGACGAGGGAGGAGGACAACGACGAGGGAGGAGTGAAGACGACGACGACGACGACGACGGCGACGAAATAGGAGGGACAACGACGAAACGCCGACGAAGACGACGAGGGAGGAAGAACGACCACGGCGACAACGACGACGGAAGCGACGACGACGCCAAGACGACGACGACGGCGACGACGAGGAAAGACAGAAGATGACGACGGCGACGACGACGAGGACGAGGGAGGAGGGAGGACGACGACGACGACGACGACGACGACGACGCAAGAGCGCGCGCGCACGCTTTTGTGATGCCTTGTGTTTTTGTGGGTTTCTTGGACACACGATTTTGAAATCCTTCCGAAGCCGAAGGTTTTTGAAGGATTCCGGCATATGCGCGCGACGACGCGCGCGTCTGCACTTCGTTCCGTTTTTTGCAGAGGGTTCTCGCGACGGCACACGCGCAAGGGCGTTCGACAGATTTCGACATACGCGCGCGCGAAGCCCGTTTGGTAGCATTTTGTGAAAATCTTGAAACAAACAATGTTTTTTTTTTATATATATATATATATATATATATAAAATCGCAAGAGCTCGCGCGTAAGCTTTTTTTGCAAATCAGTGTTACGAAACCCTGTGTATGTTTTTTGGAAACTCGATTGCGAAATCCTTCCGGCACCGAAGGTTTTTGAAGGAGCTCGGCATGCGCGCGCGACGACGCGCGCGTGTGCACTTCGTCAATTGTTTTGCAAGGGATTGGTGAAAAAGTGCTATGTTAGAACCAAAAAAGTCACCGCATTGTGTTTTTTACAAGGGAACCTCAGGGGGGGGATACCGGTTTGGCTGGGATGACATGACTTCATATTTAGGATGGACGAGTGTGCAGAATATATATATATATATATGAAATTATACTATCCCAAGGGGAAGCGTTAAGTCCGGGGGGGGTAGAGTCTATTCTCTTTTTAGAAAGTTTTTAGAAAGGAGAATCTATGTGTGCAAGCTAAATGGGCCAGGCTACGCGGTGCAAAACATGCGGTGCGACGCCCGAGGTATAACATAAAATCAGCGCTAACATGTGTGATGAAGTCTCTGTGGTGCAACTGGCACGATTCCACGCACGCCGTGCGATGTATGTGTGGTCAGCTAGCTGCTGCACGCTATCTGTTACAATCTAGGTGCTGCGAGCTATTTGGTGCAATTTAAGTGTGCATCAAGACATGCGGACAACACACGCGTGGGCTCGACCACGAAGCACCCGCGAGCGCCCACTGGCCGATAGTCACAACAAACAAAACAACAAAAACGCGGGCCGACGCAGGGGGGCGCCGACGAAGCTCCCACGGGCGGCGACAGTCCGGAAAGGCCAGCCAACCACTCGGCAACAGAAGTACGAAACCCTAGTGCAAGCACTCGTTGGGGAAAAGGAGGGCTCGCGCTACACAATGTTTTTAGTTGTCGTGTTCTTTTCGTTTTCCCTCGTTCTGTCTTCTTCCGTCTTCGTTCCGCCTTGGATCAAAACGAAAACGGTCCACGAGATCGCCCAAACACCGTTTAGCTCGACCCCTGGGAAAAAGGTGGGCATGGAACGGCGAACTGAAGGGGGCGGGCAAACCGTTTTGCGGAACGGCATTGCGCAGCAGGGTATACACTCACCACCTCACGCCCTCGTGCCTGGATCAGCTCGAAGCGGGCCGAGGCGAGCCGGGTCAAAAAGAAAATGGCCGACCACCACCAGGGGCGTAACCCAAACATTCAAACGGCTCTACATCCAGAATAGTCGGGCAGCGGCGCGCAATTCCCCGGGCACTGTTCGCCGCGCAGAATTCAGAAACGGCTGCCGCGCGCGAGCTCCGCCTTCTTCGAGCTGGAGCTGCGTGGGGGCAGCCCAAATGTACATAAATTCTCAGCGCAGTGCCAAGAACTAAGATCGGCTACACGCAAGAGTGACCCTGGGTAAGAGTGACCTTTGGTGCGCGGCTTTTTGGGGGCCGCGGGGGGACCAAACACAAGCGCGCAAGACGCTACTACCGCATCGCGTTCGGCGATCGAGGGACCCCTATGGGCCCGCACCAAAGGTCACTCCGGCGAAAGGTCACTCTTACGTGTAGTCGATAAGAGACAGGAGAGGCACGGCCGGGACGGCGCGCGTCGCCCCTGCTCGTGGAAAGGGCCCTGCGCGTGCAAATTCCGCGGCCTCTGGAGGACCGCGGCCGGCGTCCTGCCGAGGAAAACTTCGAGGCACCTATACGTGTGTACACCTAGAGAGACGCCTGGCAAAGCTGATGCCTCGGAGCTACAAAGGCGACGACGCTCTGGGAGGTCGGGGTCAGGGATGCCCCAGAGGAAGTGATGCGAGATCCCCAGAAAGACAGCAGGAGGGATCCGAGCTGGGCCTGCCTGAAGCCACCATGTGGGCGTCACTGCCCCTGTGTCAAGGGGGGTATCCTGGCCAAGTGGTGCATAACTTCCCATGCGACTCCGAATGGCATGCCACCGTGTGAAGTGTGCGGTCCACGATCACGGACCACCAGTGGGGGCCCGAAATCACGTGCGCGTTATGATTGGTACCTTCCATCTGCAGGCGGCTACCAGGCGTGCTTAATATTGCGACACTGGCTGGAGGCCTCGGCTAAGCAAAACTCCCGGGGATCGCACTCGGTCCTGCGAGCTGCTCGCAGTCATCTTGCGGCCGCAGCTGTCTAGGGTTGGAGGCCGAACAGGCTCAGAAGGGAACTCTGGGGTGGGGGGAGAGCTGCGATCTGCGAGTCAGCAAGTCGTGCCCCCCAGACAAAAGACAAGCCATGTAGACCAAATGTATAAAACCACACCCATCCCCCAAGATATCCGTGCTCTTACGGGGGGGAGCTGAGTTTTCAAAGCCGACGCCCAGAAAGGCCAGGGGAGTGGGATCCTGGGCGCCGCGTCGATCGGCGGCGCGGTTCACGACCCCAAGTCAGGCGGCCGTGCTACTCAGCAGCCTGCTCTCGAACGAGGTGTCGTACCGCGGCATGTAGCTCTCGTCCAGCGGGCTCCCCTCCAGCCCGCGAAGCACCATGTTCTGGAAGCGGTGGACCGGCCAGTCGTACTTCGGGAGGAACTCGCCTGGCACGCCCGCGCCGCGCGCGTTGCTGAGGCCCCGCTGCAGGTTCTGGATGGCGTCGATGTCCTCCTCGTTGATGCGGGCGACGAAGTTGAAGAGGTCCTCGCACTTCTGCGCGTACTGGTCCGGGGCGTCGTCCTGCTTCCTCGGGGGGCCGGCCACTGCACGCCCGGCCACCTACAGAGCCCGCTCGGCTGCCGCGT